GCGGCTCCAGCCGCTGCTCCGGAGGGGGCGGAACGCTGGAGTGACCCGCAGCCCTTGCCCAGGGGGCAGACCGGCCGTGCGGGCTGCAGAAAGGCGTTCCAAGGGTCCCCGCACCCCCTCTGCCGGTCCTTGCCCTTCCCCAGGGCTGTGGACTGCGGTGCAGGGTGGGACAGGCCTCTGCCGGGCCCCGCTGGGACGCAGCCCTGCTCTGAAGTGTGCTTCACCACAGCTTAATAATCCTCTGGGAACAGGCTGTGGCTTTTGGAGCAGCGGGATGGATCCGGCACAGTCCTCGGTGACTCCCTGCCGCTGCCAGGGGTCAGGAGCATCTGCCCACACCCATTTTCTTTTCTGCTGGGAAGCTTTTGGGCAGCGCAGCCGTCCCCCTCACAAGCTCTCCTCTGTTCTCCTCCCCTGCCTTTTCCAGGGGCAGGGCTGCTCACCTAGCCCCGCTGGGACACTCTCTCCCTCTGGCTTCCCTCTCGCCAGGGGCCGTGTGCCCATGGGAAGGTGCTCGGGCGCGGCTGGCGGAGCCGCAGCAGAGAGCGCAGCCCGGGGAGCCCGGCCAGGGCTGGGCCACTCGTGACTCAGCCGTCACACAGCCCCTGCCCAACGCATCTTACTGTTTAGCCACAAGGACGTGAAATGCAGAAGTGGGAGCAAAGCTTTCCACTGGCACGGCTGCAGCAGCAGGGGCTGAGCTCACTGTCAGCCTTTCCTGAGGGCAGGAACAGCCTGGAGAGCCTGTCCTGCCAGCCACCGCATCCTGCCCGAGCCAGACGCATTTGCAAACTTTTCCCCTGCAGCCACGTGCTCCGGTACTGGATCATCCCTCCTTTGCTGCGGAATCGCCCGTGGCTTTCAGCAGGTGTTTATCTGCAGAAGTCACCCCTGGATCAGCCGGGGGTTCAGGGCGAAAAGCGCCCCCGGAGGCCTTGGGGGTCCCGTTTGCCTGGGGGTGCGGAGGTGCCTCCCCCGCGCTCCACCTGCCGCCCGTGTGCTTACAGTGGGGACACTCGCACGAGGAACACAGAGCTGGTTTTCTTTCTCCTGTGTTCTTTCTGAAATGGTAATAATCAGATCTGTTCCAACCACTGCGCGTGGAAAAAACTTGCCCGTGCTAGGGGAGAAAACGAGATCAAGGGAGAAAGCGGCCTGACCTACCTGTGAGCCAGCAGGAGGGGACACAGAACAGCACACAGCGGAGGGGAGGCTCTGCAGAGCCTCACGGGCTGCAGGTGGCACTGAGTTTCTCAGTCGTGCCACCCTCACCATCACAGAGGACATGGGCTGAGCACCAAGGTGTGAGAGCAGACCTGCCACCAGCCCGTGGCACAGCTCCGGTCCTAGAGGAGCTCACAAACACACTTCCAACACCTCCAGAGCAACAAGTCAGCTGAAAATTCTCCTTTTTTACTTCCCTGGCCCCACGTCTCCATGGAGCATCTTGAATATCTGTCTGCAGGGCAGAGCTCCTCCCGCAGAAAAAGAGGAGCTCTGGCCGTGGGACGGGGAGCGAACCCTCCCTGCGGGGCTGGAGGAGCTCCCTCCCTGCGGGGCTGGAGGAGCTCCCTGCGGGGCTGGAGGAGCTCCCTGCGGGGCTGGAGGAGCTCCCTCCCTGCGGGGCTGGAGGAGCTCCCTGCGGGGCTGGAGGAGCTCCCTGCGAGGCTCGGCCGGCAGCAGCGAGCCCCGCTCTCTCCGAGATGCAAGACCTCCCTCTGCCGTTCGCTCACTCTGCCCAAGGGACCCTCACCCACCGCACGGGACACTCCAGCAGCTCCAGAAGATCCACCGGATTCGTTTTTTTAAACCCCAGCATTTCTAAAGACAGAATAAATGTGAGAACTAGAAGAGAGAGCCGAGCCAGTAGCAGCGACACCTGCTTTTCACCAGTGCCGAGTATTTTCTGGAGCTTTGGGGAAGGAGTAAGGAAGGAAAAGGAAAGTTTCATAATGGTTTCAACAGTCCTCCTTTGTACCACCCAGAGAATAATGTGATTTGCCCATAAAAATGAGTTGTTTTTGATGAAGCACAGACCAATGCAACTGTGACACAAAGCTGCATGTCAGAAAAATAAACAAAAAGCCAGCCCCAAAACAGGCAAATGCTCCACTGTAATTTTTAATATATTTACACCAAAGAGAAGCTTTAGGACTGCAAGCACATCCTTCATTTGCTTTTTCATGACTTGGAAAGCCTTGGTTGGTAAATCCTTTTTGAGATGGGCTCAGCAGTGAGTGTCCAGTACAGCCGGGCAAAGGCCTTGAAGAAAATTTGCTGTTCTCTCTGCAGTCAGGTGAAATGAGAACCTGGAATACAGCACTTAGGCTTTGGCAGGACCTCATCCCCAGCCTAAGGAGGCCGTGGGGATTTACCGCTGCAATTCCAGATGAAGCAATGCCCGTGCATTAAGAAATTAATGCTGACAACAATTTATCAGACCTATTGAGACCAGTCGTTGTCTGGAGACAAATTCATTTGATAGAACAGCTCAACTGCAAGGCCGGCTCCTCCCGTTGTGTGTCTCTGTGCTAATCGTCCTCCTCAGGCTGACTTTGTGCCAGACACGGGGAATGTCACAGCTCGGGGCTGGCTGATTGCATTATCCCCACAATGCGGCAGGATCGGCTGCTGACGAGGCGAGAGCAGCTCGGGAAGAGAGCTGCACCCTTCCCGGGGACCCTGCACCCTTCCTGGGGACCCTGCACCCTTCCCATGGCCACTGCACCCTTCCCAGGCACACTGCACCCTTCCCATGGCCACTGCACCCTTCCCATGGCCACTGCACCCTTCCCAGGCACACTGCACCCTTCCCATGGCCACTGCACCCTTCCCGGGGACCCTGCACCCTTCCCATGGCCACTGCACCCTTCCCGGGGACCCTGCACCCTTCCCGGGGACCCTGCACCCTTCCCATGGCCACTGCACCCTTCCCATGGCCACTGCACCCTTCCCGGGGACATTCCCTGCCTTTGGGAGCCCAAACGAGCTGGTTCTACTCCAAGGTTCTTTTCACCAGCCAAACGAGATGAGTGGAGGACGTGCAGAGCACACAGGGGCCTCTCACCAGAGCAGCTTTAAATCAATCAGGGACTCTCAGTCGGGTGAACCCCAGCGAGTGCAAACACTCGGGGTGGGGGCTCAAAGGAAACACGTGAGCCATGAGGAAGAAATGACAAGAGCTGACACAAAGGTAGGATTTTATAAATTAAATGACCTTTATTTGTAACTTGTCTTCAAAAGTCTAAAACATGACAAAGAAATTACTCGGAAGCTTCTAATTGCTCCTTAAACATTTTATCAGAATTGCATGGAAGTGCACTTAGAACAGAAGCAGGAATCTGGATTCCTGGCAATGGGCATCACCAAACTGCACTGTAGCCTCATCCCAGAGATCCCATCCAATCCCCATCAGAACATCTGCAGGGCACTCAATAACCACCCCCAAACACAGCACTTCCCACACAACCAGAGCTTCACGTCTCCCAGTGCCCCACAGCTGCTCAGGGGTCAGAGTGGGACAGCCCCTACCACGGGGAAGGAACAAACCCCGAGGTCAGCTGGGAGGTGCCAGAGGTCTGGCTGGAGAGGCTGAACCACGAGGTTTTAGCTGGAGTGTGTTTCATTATTCTCAGGGTAAGGCTATGCTGCCGTCTGCAGAGCACCACGGGACAAGGTTCCTGCTCAAATCTATTAATCAGTGCTCAGTTCTGGGGTGGTGCAGCTCCTCTGCTGCAGTTACAACACTTGCATTGGACATCTGTGATTTACAGGTTCTGCTCAGGTGCCTGAGATCTCAGCAGCTCGACTGTGAACTTAACAAAGCATCAAAATCAAACTAAGGAATCTCCATGGTAAAAGTGTAGGTTTGAACACAGAGCATCCACCAAGGGCTGGAACTGTCCTGCTCTCAGGGCTGTATTTTACTTTTCCTTGAAAGCTACACCTGACTCTACACACACACTGCCAGATGGCAAACAATCCAAGTACTTCAGCTACTTTAGGAACATTTAAATGAAGAACAGGAATTCAAAATACCTGATAAAATCTGTGATGCAGAAAGAAGTGCTATGCCAGTGCTATGGATTACTTGTTTTTCCACCAGCTTGCCTTGAGAGATGGAAAACCCAAGAAGATACATGAAAATTGTAGTTGAACTAGAAAGCCGAGGTATTGAAAAAATCCTTCTGAATTCCCCTATCAGCATAAAGCTTAAAATTACTAGGAAACCAGTTTCAAACCCACCAATTTAATCATAAAGCCAGCAATTTTGATTAATATTTGCTAAGGTAGCTAAAAAATTATGCATTTTAATTAAGACCAACACTAAAGATAATTTTCCAGGCTAGAAATTATAGTAAGAGCATGGAGGAAAATAATCATGCATAGAACTGAAGTATTTTGAACTAGTTTCTACACAGTGCAAAGATTTCCTAGGAAAGTTTGCAGTTTGAACACTCATACTGAAGATATGTTTTCCATACAGCTGGGAGGCTTCCTGTAAGGACTGAAACATTGGGAAACATTATGGAATCACAGGGATCAGAGGTCACTTACATGAGAGCTGGTCTGACAGTTACAGTTAGCACCTGAAGTCTCACTAAAGGGGAACAGAGCTACCAGAACACCTCACATACAATCACTTGAGATATGTACATGAGATTGGGAAGATATTTATTAACTAGTTCAGGCCATTCCATTTGGAATGTTTTTGATTTTAGACAGTCAAATAAACACAACTTTCAAAGAAACCAAAAGGCATAGGTAAAGAAAAAAAACTTGGTTCCCACCTGTTGATCTACAATGAAACTGAGGATAAGCAAGTAGAAAAATGGGGCTGAGAAGGCTGAATGTCAGAAACCATGATACTGAAAGACTGAACGGTACAGAAGTATCAAACCAGGATTTAAAACTGAGATAGGATTAAAGTCTTCTGTACTTCTGGATGCCTGAGTTCATCTTGGGATGTGCTGGGAGAAGTGCAAGGATGCTGGGCATTTCCCCCTCGTGAAAGCTTGGGTTTGCAGTAAATCTTCTGGCTGGATCACTTATCCCTCAAAGAGCGCATCAAAACCTGTGCCATCATATCATCCTCATCAGCATCGTAGTCCTGCAACAGAGGGCACAGAAACAACAGCCACGCTGGTCAGTGCAAGTGACAGCAGCAAGAGCTGCACTTCCCTGCGCCCCTGCACACCCCAGGACACGCTGGGATTTCACAGCAGTGCCCAGGAGCTCCAAGGGGGAGCAGAAACCTACCACAAAGGTGTCATAGGAAAAGCGATGGCGTCTCTGCAGGTGCTCCATGAAGTTTGCACTCCTGTAATTGGGGTCTCCCCATGGCATTGAGGCACAAATTGGGCAAACCTTCAAGGAAAAAAAGCCAGTTAGGCCCCAGTGGCTCAGTGCTTTGATGCTGACAGCGGGAAGGGCAGGGACAGCCTGGGGGAGTGGAGCTCAAGGTTTGTGCTCTCACTGTTCTGTATGCAAAGTGATGGCCAATAACCTGCTGGGACATTTAATGCAAAAGCCTCAGAGAACCCTGAATAATTTTAATTAATGTCTCAGATCCCTGAAACAGAATGGCTTGCTCTTCTCCCACGTTCTGAAATCAGAACTCATTAAAGCCTCCTGCTTTAGAAGATTTCAGCCTGTATTTCTCAGTGGCAGGAAAGTTTCCTTGGTCTTCTTTGCAAAGTTCACTTCCCTCCAAGAGAAAAGAGGAACTTTTTTTCCTGGATAATCTGGAATTCCAAAAAACTTCCCAGAAAAATGAGTTTCCAATTCAGTTCCATGTTTTGCAATTCCTCTTACACAAGAGGAAGTATCACAGATAGATTACTAGAATGATACACTATTTTTTGCAAGCATTTTCCCCAATAGTTTACAGTATCTTCTTGCTGAAAACAAGGTGAAGAACAAGGAAAAAATTAAATGTCTGACATTTTTTTGAAATGATGTTTTATTACTTTGCTGTGCCTAATTAACTTTGAATGTGTGCCATTTTTCCAGGATGAAAAGAGGATGTGGCCTGGCTGCAGTGGGTGGAGACCAGAGAGCCACTGCAAGGTGGCAGCAGAACCACACCAGGCTTAGAGGCATGACCAGCACAGCCACACTGACTGGACAGCACTAATTAGCCCTACTTAATTAAAAAGTCTCTAATTCATTGTTTCAAAGGGCTTTAAGACTAGACTTCATTGCAATTCTTGCACCAAAACTTTTTATTACCACTTGTTTTGCATCCATGCTGTGCAAAGCTTTGCAGTGTTCAACCAGTCCCTCTTGATCAAAGTTCTTCTCGCTGCAGTACGGGCAGGGGAAGGTGAAGCGATTTGGGAAGCTCCTGGTTGGGGGAGAAAAGGAGGTTATTTACAAATACAGATTATTCAAAGCAAGAAATTACCTATGCTATTAAGGGAAACTAATTTTAACTGTCAGTTTCTAAACTCCTAAGAGTATTCTGAGGAACACAATATTGTCCATATTTAGACTGAATTCCAGCTCTTCTACAAATGCCATTTATCTAAATGCCATTTATCACCTTCTTCTCCAGTGCCAGGGCACCACCCCAGCCACACACAAGAGTGCACTTCCCTCCACTGTGGGTGAGTACAACCAGGAGACACAGGTATTCTAAAAGCCAGCTACACCTACAGGATGCCCTCATCTTAGAGATGTCCTGTGCACTGACCAAACAGAAGCTGCAGAGTTTATCTGGGCACAGCCAGCTGCAAGATCAAAGCTCAGTTTTTCACTATATAAAAATTAACACCCAAAATAAGCAGAGGTAAAGTCTGCTTTTAATTCACAATTCTTTCTTGTGACAGAAAAGCCCAGGACTTCAGAGCAGAGGTGTTACCTGGTGTTGTGGAGGGGCTCTTTAGTAACAGCCTTCACACCTTCCATGATGTAATTCTGGTACTTGGAGCAGGAGGCTGCGTGGCTGCGCATCTTGGACAGGTACATCTGTGCAGGGAACAGCAGCACAGCAAGGTCAGCTCAAACCACCTGCCCTTCCTGCTACACTTTCAACCAAAAGCAGCAAATGTGTAAACCTGAGCAGCCTTCAGAAGTGTTAAAGCAGAAAGTCCAAATGCTTCAGCTGCCCAGATGGAAAACTTTTGAGATTACAGGTTAGTTAAGCTGTAACTCTGCTGTCTGTGCTATGTTGCCATACTCACAGCAGCAACCTTTCACTCTAACTTTAAAATCAGAATCTTTCATTTGAAATTAATTTCCTGAAGAGGTAACAACAAAAAACTGTGGAAACAATGTCGACATTGGGTGCTGCCTATATCAAACACCTTCAGCACGTATCAGAACAAACATTTTGACCTGATTTTGAGAAAGCTGATGAGGAAGCAGTTTATTTTCCCCTAGGCTGATGCAGCTTATGTAGTTAATTTCCAAACACTTTCATACTTTTTTATGGCAGCCGTTGCAAGTGGTTTCTGTCGTTTCAATTTGCTTCTCCAGGTCCAGAGCTCTGCTCCCAGGTGCCAGGGTGCTGCGGCACACCCCACAGACTGGCTTCTTGGGCTTCAGACATTCCTGCAGGCACGGCGTGCAGAAGCTGTGGGGGAGAAAAGAGGAGGTGGTGAGACAGCCCTCCGAGCACCAGCAGTGCCCACTGCCCTTGCACAGCCTCTGCCCGAAGGACCAACAGAGCCTTTAGACTCAATAAAGGATAAGAAGGAGCTGCTGGGCATGAAGGGTGGAGGATCCCAGGCTGTCACACGCAGAATTGCCTGCAGTTGGACAGTGCCCTGTGCCCCCGGTTTCTGGACACAATCATGGAACGGGTTGGGTTGGAATGGACCTTAAATCCAGTGCTGCCCCTGACATGGCAGGGACACCTTCCCCTGTCCCAGGAGCTCCCAGCCCTGTCCAGCCTGGCCTTGGGCACTGCCAGGGACCAGGGACAGCCCCAGCTCTCTGGGCACCTGAGCCAGGGCCTGCCCACCCTGCCAGGGAGAAATTTCACCCCGACATCTAACCTCAGCCTGCCCTCTGTCGGTGTGGAGCCATTCCCCCTTGTCCTGCCAGCGCCCGCATTCCTCAGGAGAGACGGGAAGGGAAAGTGGAAGAACACTGGTTTCCTTTCCCGCCCGCTTTTCTTTCGATTTCTCCCTTTCAAGGCCGCTGCAGGTCAGCCCTGCCCCGCTGCCGGGGCCCCGAGCGGCGGCTCCTCCCGAGG